ATTAATGCCTATACTTCTGCATCCCAAAACAACGAGGGATAGTAATTGCAAGATAATTCAAAGATCATGCTAGAGCAACTCCTAAGAAAGTAGAGAAGTATATATATAGTCAATTTAATGCAGATTAACATCTTAGACATGCATGCATTATTTAGGGAGAAAGAAAAAACTAAACATACAAAAACCCTACTGGATGGTAGTTAGCACTTGAGTTGCTTCAGTTGTTGGCAATGATTCATTTCCCCTATCTGTTGTTTTAACATCTTGCTTGAGCTCCACAACACCATCAACATGACTAGAAGCTTGACAATCATCCCATTCCCCTTCTCTGGACCCTTTTTTTTGTTTCTTCAGTTTTGGACCATTTTCAGCTTGTTCACAAGCAGAGAGATCTAAAGAGGTATAATGATCATCATTTTCCACAACTTGCTTGAGCTCTTCACCAGCATCACCAGGTCCAGAGCCATTGCATTCCCCTAGCCGGTCCCCCTCCAAATCTTTTTTCCTCTTCAATTTTTGACGATTTTCAACTTGTACATCAGCAAGGTGGTCAAGAGAAACAGAAAGATTACCAATATTCCTGTCAAAAAACAACACAGTATGAACACCTTAATGCATATATCCAAAAATCACGAGCATGCAGAGGAAGGAAAAAAAGGATTAAAGGAAAATAAGATTTTTAAAAAACTGAAGCTTACATATCGCTTACAGCACTTTGAGCATCTTTTGTTCCTTTAAGAGCTTGGGAAATGTCATGATCAGTGAATTGCTCTGTGTTATCATCAGCATACACATTCTCCAGAATGCTCATACCAACCGCTTGATCTTTTGCATCATCAGAAGTCTTTGTTGACCTTGCATCGCTATAAGGCAACATATAAACATAGTAAAGTTAAACAATGGCTGTGTTGGGCAAGTAGATCTAAATAGAAAGCAAAAGAAATACAGCACTAAACTCATGCAAAGACATAAATGCAAGAAATAAGTAATACTCACGGTTCAGGACAATCATTGCAAGAGTTGCTCATATTTGTCACTTCCACAGGAACATCATCTTCGCCTCTATGATCTTCATCCCTACCACCACTTTGGGAGGGAGCAGCGACATCACCTGTTACCTTATCGGCAGTTTCCCCACATTCAGGAATTTCATTTCCAAATGCAGTCAGGAGATAAGATTTGCCTCCTTTACTTTCTTGTTCATTGTTGTCATCTTCAGATTCAATCACATTGCATTTGTTTGCAGATTTTTTATTTCTCAATACAGCCATTGTAGAGTTCATCTCATCACCCCTTTCTTCTGAATTTATATTATCTGCAGGCTCAACTGCTTGACGGTTCTTCTTCTTGAGCCCTTTGTGGTTGCCTTTCTTGTTTCCTGAATATTTACCCATTAAGAAAGAGAAAATGAATGAGAATTAGGGATTTATACACTAGAATTTTGCAATAACAACAGCTGCCTAGTAGAATCCCACAAAAATATGGTTTGGGGAGGGTGTGTGTATGCAGACCTCACACCTGCTTGAAAGTAGAAAGGCTGTTTCCAAGAGAGAATTTTGCAAATATCATACATAAATGAAATTTGAGAAAACCAGTAAAACAAACCCTAAGTAACAGCTACAAAATCCACACCCTTCTACCACAAAGCAATACTGTGAATAGAGATCTTATTCTCTGTAGATGCACCAGCCTTCATGAAAAGTAATCTTCATCAGATGGGCTATATTTACCTGCATTTCCATTTCTATAAATAGGTGAAGACAGGAAAACATTGGGTTCACCCTCCTCGTCCTCCACCTCCTTCCCATCATCATCATCGTCTATAAAGCTACCTCCATAGTCATCATTCTCACTCCCCAGATCAGATGCCTCAGTGTCTGTGTTGGCGATATCCTCCCCATACGACTCAGTGTCGCTATTCCGATTTGCAGATGAACTCTTCGAAACGTAGTAACCACTCAGGTGAACACTCCTCGGTCCAAGAACCGAGAACACGACATCATCTGCCTCCTCAAATTCCAAATCCAAGTGGCAAGATTCTATCTTATTGGGCAACAAAGCACACAGAAACACTGGAGATTTGTTCCCCACATTGCACTGAACCAAACTCCTTGCTGTTCTACTTCCAATGCCCAATGTCGCCTAAACACTCTCACAACAACAACAAAATCAAACAAACACGCCTAACAAAATCAAAGAATTGCGCACTTAAACGAAAAAAAAACATAGAAATCTCACCTGGGACACTCGAAGCCTTCCAACTGTTCGATCAAAGTAGTGAGTGAATGGTTTTCCAGGCTTTACTTCAACACCTAGTAGAATTCCACAAAATCAACAAGAAGTAAATATAATCGCTGATTGGGAGAACCAGAACATGAAATGGGAATGTAAAACTAACCCCAGAAAGACATCTTCGGGCTCTTGCTTCCTTGCCGGAGCTGGAAGCCACCGCCGTGTTTTTTCAGCACACGATTATAGCCTTGTCCTCGGAGCGGCCGGGGAATGGCGAGGGTGAGGATTATTGCGTTATTATGAATGAACGCTTTTCTTCTTTCCGCGCCCCTTTTACTTCCTCCAGAGGCGGGCATAAATATTCTCTTCCATTATTCTGGACGGACGCGAAGCTCAATCAAAAAACGTTTCTAAACAAGAATCACACCAAATAATATTTCTGTTTTTTTTCATAATTTTTATATATTTGTTCCGATGATAATTTGATAAAATAAAATATTTTATCAAAACTTATTTTTTGAAATTTTTGAATTACTTTTAAACCGTTCAATTTATAATTTTTTTTATTTATCTACCAATTTGTAAATAAAATTATGTTAAAATAGAAAGATTGCGATTCATAAAAAAAAGTCAACATAACTTCAAATTTGACCTTATTTTCACAGTATTGTCTTTACAGACATTTCAGACGTGAAACTTTCATATCAATAATATTTTTAAAAGTATTGATGTCAAAAGTAGAGTCAAATTTGTGTAATCAAAGGCCTCGGTTGGTATTGGAGTCAGAAGTTGGCGTTAACATTTTAAAAATGCTATTTGATATTAGCCTTTATTCTTAGATTTTTCCAAATTAATCTACATTGTTAATATTTTATCTTAAATACTAATGCTAATTGAAAACATTCTTCTCAAACAAGGCTAATGTTTTTTTGTTAAAAATGTAGAAACTTAGTGAGAATTGTTTTGATGTCATTGAATATTCAATGGAAAATGGGCCATGCTACACTTACACCACAAATTGTACACCATTTGTACACCGCAGGTATACACAAATATTTTGATGATTTGCACCGACACAAGTGTTGGTGCGTTAACAAAAATTTACACAGACACAAAGTGTTTGTACATTAACAAAAATTAGTTTTACACCAACACTTTGTGTTGGTGCAAACCTGCGGGGTACAAAGTGGGGTACAAAACATGAGGTACAAGTAGCTTTATCCATGGAAAATATACAAGTTCATACATGACCTAGTTTAGACCTAATAAACTACTCCCTTCATCTTAAACTTTTTTTCCACTTCACAATAAGGAGACTATTATCGTAACACCCTCAACTCCATAAATAACCCTTTATACTTATAACATATTTTGCCTCTATTTTGTTTGGGTCAATTCGAGAGTTCCTGTAACACCATATATCTCCCTAAATCTATCCATATACGCAGCCTCTTTTGGACCAAAGTACTAATTTGGTAATCGTAAAAATTTAACATTTTAGCAGTTGAAACTTTATTCCATCATCATAATATATTTAGAAATAGTGACAGAGTTTATCACATTGTTAATAAATGGTTTTATGTCACAATCAATAATTCATTTTTGAAATAATTATTGAAGAGTTCAAACCCATCACACATCCATCTAACACCTCATGTCCCATCTGCCGCTAGAACCAATCACATCATTCTTTATTTTATTTACCTACGTGTATCAAATAAAACATACCACACGTTCAGTGTTGAAGCTGAGTAATGATATATAATGCATCGGACATCCACATAAATTGAATCTCAATTCATAATCAAATCATTTGATATCTTGCACATATATTCAATTTAATTATTCAATAGTTATAATATCAACAGTGCTCTTAAACTATTTTTAGTCTAAGGATAAATCATAATAATGTTCTTAAACTATTCTTAGTCTAATGCTAATTTATTTTGATTACCAGGGTCTTAAACTATATTTTAGTTTAACGAAAAATACAAGAATCGATGACTTATCATATGAGTCTTATAGGTCACGCTCAAAATCGATCGAACAACGGTCTACTCATCGTCGAGTTGGGTGGTACTATACCCTCAAACGAGTGGAAACTCGAGTTTGGTTTATGCATCCCGTACGTCCGTTTTAACCATAGACACCACACATTTTATCCGTAAGGCCTAACTAAATTGGTCACATAAAATCTATCTTAAAGTTCTTCTAGATAGCTTTAAATGTTCATATTCAGTGAGTAAGGTGGTCTATATCTCACTCTAGTCTGTTCCTCACAATCAGTTTCACATGTCAATTCTTCTGTTGATAATGTCAATACTTCTCATAGTTCTTCTGTTTGTAAAGAGTCCAATGTAGTTGTTTGGCATAGGAGACTGGGTCATTTGCCCATTTACAAACTTCAGCAACTTTGTATTTCTGATAATGGAAGTTTGTCCTCTTTGTCCTGTTGTGATGTATGCCCTAGAGCTAGACAACACAAATTGTCTTTTCCTATTAGTCAAACTCATTCTACTCATAATATTCATCCTTAATTACGATTTCAATACAACTTCACAACACCTAATTGAAATAATGTTAGCAAGGAAAATGTTGAACACTAAAACCATATTATCCAATAAATTTCCAACAGCAGGAACAGTGAGGTTCTTGAGAGATCCGAGCTTAGTTGGAATGTTCCCATTTGACATGTTGTAACACATCTGCAAAACAGCATACACAGAATCAATGCAGAATGCCCATTTAGTTTCTTTAACCAGAAGAGGTAAGCAAAAAGCATATAAAAGTTGTTGTGTCAAAAAACGTTTTGCCTTAGAAGAAGTAGAAAAAACAGTTTGCAAAAAGAGGGGAAGGGGGAAAGCAGCCCTTTAGCTTATGATTAGGTCGGATTCGGGTTTGATTTTTGGGGGTCGGTTTCGGATATTTATTTTTTCAGAACGAATTTGGTTTTGGATTTGGCCGGGTCGGCTGCGGTCAAATTCGAGTTTGAATGCTAATAAAAGTATTCATGAAAAGTTTAATATTGAAATACATTAAAAAATTAAAATTTTAAAGAAGACATAAAGTTTAAGGTATTAAAAAAGTATTTATGACCGAATGACCCTTAAAAAGTTAAACATAGTAAATTTCAACTAATAACATACGAAGTACAAAGAAAATAACATAGGGGTGACTCACAGTATTTATCCATAATAAAAAAATGAAACACAAAGAAATGCAATAAATTTTAATATATTCAAAACTTGTGAATTTAAAAAATACAGAATTTAGGAATTTAGGGGTTTTAAAAATTTATTGAAATCTTTCTTTAAAAAAACCTATTCAAAGTCGGGTACAGGTCGGATTGATCAAATATACTAACCCAAACCCGACCCGACAAATGTGAGGTTCAGTTTAAATTTTTTTGGGTCGGTTTTGAATATTTAATTTTTCTGTTCGGATTAGGATATTATAAGCTTGGGTCGGGTCGGTAAAACTTGGATTCGGGTAGAATTGTCATCCCGAGTTATGCTCTGTTCTGTTCGCCTAATCTGATTTGACCTGGTATGATTTTTGGCAATTTTGATTTGACTTTTTGAATTTCTGATTTGATATGGTCTGATCTGATCCGGTCTGATCTAATCTAATAATAATAATAATAATGATAATAACAATGATAATAATAATAATAATGATAATAATAATATAATAATAATAATAGAAATATTGACAATAAAAGCAATAATAATAGAAATAATAGCAATAATAAAAGTAATAATAATAGTATTAACAATAATAATAGATATAATAATAATAATAATAATAATAATGGAAATATTATTAATAAAAATAGTAAAAGTAATAATAATATTAGTAACAATGATAATGATAATAGTAATCCTAATAATAATAATAGTAATAATAAAATTAGTAGTAGTAGTAGTAATAATAATAATAGTAATAGTAATAATAACAATAGTAATAACAATTATAGTCATAATAATAATAATAATAGTAATTGTAGTAGTAATAATAATAATAGTTACAATAATAATATTATTAATATTAATAGTAATAATAATTATAATCATAATATTACTATAATAATAATACTAATAAGAGTGGTAATAATAGTAATAATAATAATAATAATAATAATTTTGCATATATCTAGTCTGATCTCGTCTGATCTGATTGGATCTGATCCGATAGGATCTGATCTGGTTTGATCTGATTTTAATAAAAATAAGTAATAAGATGAAAAAAAGTTGAACGAAACACTGCCATAAACAACATTTAAAAAGTTTTGAAATTGGTGCTAGCATTTCAAATTGAACGGAACAGTTTAAATTTTTTTGGATCGGTTTTGGATATTTAACTTTTCAGTTCAGATTAGGATATTATAAGCTCGAGTCGGGTCGGTAAAAGTTGGATTCGGGTAGAATTGCCTTTCCTAGTTATGCTTCGTTCGGTTCGCCTCATTTGATTTGACTTGATCTGATTTTTGCAATTTTGATTTTATTTTTTGAACTTATGATTTGATTTGGTATGATATGATCTGATAATAATAATAATAGAAATATTGATAATAAAAGCAATAATAATAATAATAGGAATAATAATAATAATAACAATAATAAAAAAATAATAATAGAAATATTAATAATAATACTAATAATAATATTAGTAACAATGATAATGATAATAGTAATCCTAATAATAATAGTAATAATAATTTTAGTAGTAGTAGTAGTAATAATAAATAATAATTGTAATAATTATAATAACAATAGTAATAATAATTATAGTCATAATAATAATAGTAATAGTAATACTAATAGTAATAATAACAATAGTAATTATAATAGTAATAGTAATAATAATAGTTACAATAAGAATATTATTAATATTAATAGTAATAATAAACATAATCATAATATTAATAGTAATAATAATACTAATAATATTGGAAATAATAGTAATAAGATATTTTAGATAATATTTTCCAATAAGATAAGATATTAAATGTGAACCAACAAATCAAATATGAAAAAAAACAAATATGGAGCATAAACAACTACTAAAAACTTTCTCTCTTTCTCAATCAACCAAAAATACCAGATAACAAGAGTTTTTTTTAACAACTAAGAAGAGTATCTATTGTTTTTTGACATGTAACAAGAGTATTGAGTATTTTTAGAGAAGAAAAAGAAAAAAACAATCAAGACCTAAGAAATAAATCAAACTGTTTTGGGACTGGGCAAGTTGTTCTTCCCAGCAGCAACCGCAACATCTCCTCTGCATTCTCTCATAAGGTATGCATCCGGCCATGGATAACTCTGGATCAAAGGGAAGAATTGCTCCGTTTCCTCAAATGTATGGCGTAAGGTGGAGGTCTCCAAAGGGAGGTTGTATGATAAGATGGAATTGCCTTCCCTGTGGATGAGGAGATGGAGATCCTCCTCCCAGACCAGAGGTCGGGTCGGCCAATTTAGGAGGAAAGAATGGAGGCAAAGCCCCTGATCATCTTGGAAAACCCAGAACTTCAGCCTCTCTTCGTGTGCATCACAAAGATGGATCTTTTCGTCCCACGGGGATATCTTCGCTTTGGGTTTCTTGGCATCTGGTAGCTCGTGATTTAAATTAGATCTTCGTCAAATATGATTAGGGCCTCCCCCCATATGACGTAGAAGATGCCATTGAGATACTCGGGGAACTCCTTGTTGCCATCCCCCAGTCCTAGCCGTGAGTGGCAGATATATGGTTCTCCATTTTGGGGGATTCCTTCCATTCCCACCTCTCCGAATAAAAAACAAGTGTTTTGACAGTCTTTGCTCCCAAATGGATGTCGTGTTTGGAGAAGGCGCAGAGGCAAAAATCTGGAGACTTTTGGGGATGGAAGGCCAAGGCAAGAGACACCCCTTCTTCGTCTTTCTTTTTGTCCCAAATTGGGAGGGGGAGGGGGATTGTCTTCCTCAGGAATTGAGACACGTAATACTTGGAACTCCCCCTCTCCCACACACTCCTATAAACCGAAATCCCGTTGCAAGAATGCAGCGGGTCATAGTCAGCGCAAGAAGAGGAGTTGATTACCTCACTTTTCAATTCTTTGGAGAGCTTCACCAGAACTGGAGGACACCCAAGGAGATTCACTAGGAAGCCTAAATCTGTAGCTGGGGCGAACCTATTCACCCATTCCCTCCAAGACCTGCTGACGAGCCTAGGCATCCCTCTCATGCGGATTGGGATGAACCTAAATATTTCTACCATCAGTTCTTCTAGCAGGTCTTGTAGTTCCTTTCCATCATTCCTCATCTTCTTTCTTTGATACTTGATTCTTGAGAGATGAACAGAAAATAGGAATTTGCGAAAGGAGAGATAAGGGTTGTGAATAGAGAGGTGTTGTTAGTTTTATACGGGGGATGGTGGTGGTGAGTGAATTGAAGGTTCTTGATAACAGAATGCTCATTTTCTTGATTCCCTTCTGTTATGGGTTTTGGGTTTGTTATACATGATGGCCTTGAAGAGAACCTTTCAGATACAACACAAAGGTCATCAGGAGGGAAGTGATATAACACAAGGTCAGACTTCTCAGGAAATGGAATTCATTGCAAACAAGAATTCAATTGAAGTTTAAATCAAACACCAAAATAGGTAACCCAAAATCTCGCTGGTCAAAAATGTAAAGACATTCAGTCAGCCAAAAACCATCACTCATTAAGCCCATTAATCCTAAACATGCTGAGAACCATTAATCCTAATTGTGCTTTATGTTAGTTATTGTCTCATGGTGTTGATTTATGCAAAAGCTCTCTAACTTTAAAAGGCCTCTGAGACCATTAACATTCAAAGACATTAACTTCAAAGCATTAACGGCAACATACCGAGTATATAAATTTTTAGCAATGTGCGCAGCCAATTAGAATTAAAAACTTTAAAACTGGGTAAGATCCATTTCCTCTGACCTTGTTTTGTATCACTGCTCCCTCCTGATGACCTTTGTGTTGTATCTGAAAGATTCTCTTCAATGCCATCACGTATAACAAACCCAAAACCCATATCATAAGGGAATCAAGAAAATGAGCATTCCGTTATCAAGAACCTTCAATTCACTCACCACAACCACCCCCACTATAAAACTAACAACATCCCTCTATTCACAACCCTTATCTCTCCTTTCGCAAATTCCCATTTTCTGTTCATCTCTCAAGAATCAAGTATCAAAAAAAGAAGATGATGAATGATGGAAAGGAACTACAAGACCTGCCAGAAGAACTGATGGTAAAAATATTTGGGTTCATCCCAATCTGCATGAGAGGGATGCCCAGGATCGTCAGTAGGTCTTGGAGGAATGGGTAAATAGGTCCGCCCCAGCTACAGATTTAGGCTTCCTGGTGAATCTCCTTGGCCGTCCCCCAGTTCTTGTGAAGCTCTCCCCAGAACTGAAAAGTTAGGTAATCACCTCCTCTTCTTGCGCTGACTGTGACCCACTGCATTCTTGCAACGTGATTTCAGTTATAGTAGTGTGGGGGAGTTCCAAGTATTACGTGTCTCAATTCCAGAGGAAGACAATCCCTCTCCCCCTCCCAATTTGGGACAAAAAGAAAGACGAAGAAGGGGTGTCTCTTGCCTTGGCCTTCCATCCCCAAAAGTCTCCAGATTTTCGCCTCTGCACCTTCTCCAAACACGACATCCATTTGGGAGCAGAGAATGTCAAAACACTGGTTTTTGATTTGGAGAGGTGGGAATGGAAGGAATCCCCCAAAATGGAGAACCATATATCTGCCACTCTGGGGGATGCCGACGGGAAGAACAACTTGCCCAGTCCAAAACAGTTTGATTTATTTCTTAGGTCTTGCTTGTTTTTTTCTTTTTCTTCTCTAAAAATACTCAATACTCTTGTTACATGTCCAAAAAAATAGATACTCTCCTTAGATGTTTAAAAAAAACTCTAGTTATCTGGTAATTTTGGTCGATTGAGAAAGAGAGAAAGTTTTTAGTATTATTATTATTATTATTATTACTCCTCCTCCTACTACTACTACTAATACTATTATTATTATTAGGATTACTATTATCATTATCATTGTTACTAATATTATTATTACTATTACTATTATTATTATTAATATTTCTATTATTATTATTTCTATTATTATTGTCATTACTATTATTATTACTTTTATTATTGCTTTTATTGTAAATATTTCTATTATTATTATTATTATCAGATCAGATCAGATCAAATCAGACCATATCAAATCAGAAATTCAAAAAATCAAATAAAAATTGCAAAAAATCAGATTAGGTCAAATCAAATTAGGCAAACAGAACGGAGCATAACTAGGGATGACAATCATACCTGAATCCGACTTTTACCGACCTGACATGAGCTTATAATATCCTAATCCGAATCAAAAAATTAAATATCTGAAACTAACCCAAAAAAAATTAAACCGAACCCCACATTTGTCGGGTCGGGTTTGGGTTAGTATATTTGATCGATCCGACCTGTACCCGACTTTGAATAGGTTTTTTTTAAAGAAAGATTTCAATAAGTTTTTAAAACCCCTAAATTCCTATATTCTATATATTTTAAATACACAAGTTTTGAATATATTAAAATTTATTGCATTTCTTTGTGTTTCATATTTTATTATGGATAAATCTTGTGAGTCACCCCTATGTCATTTTCTTTGTACTTCGTATGTTATTAGTTGAAATTTACTATGTTTAACTTTTTTATTATGGATAAATCTTCTGAGTGAAGGATTCCAGTACACGAACAATTTTGGTTTACGTGGAATAAGTTTTTTCTTTTTTAAACCCATGCTACTGTTCTGCTTGCAAATTGAGAGTTCCCTACAAGCTATTTCATATACATTGTTGTCTTTGAAAAAATGAAATTTGTTTGTCTTTCTGAATTCTTGCAACTCTTTGAGAGTTGGACTTTTGAAATCCTAAAGCAGGAAAAGGATGTTCAGCTAATTAAGGAGAGGCTTGTAGATGGATATGAAATAGCTTTTGGACATATCTAACTCTGGGGTATTCTGGTACTGCTCTAATTTCAAGGGGAACTCCTTTTTGTTTTCAAATCTTTTTCCGTAGTATTTAATATTTGCATGTCCTGCGTTGCAACTTTTTTTTCTCCACTTGAAATGATCTCCCTGAGACAAGTTTAACTATGATATAAGTTTAAATAATTAAATTAATTTTAAATTTTTGTTTTAATATATTAAACTTTTATCACAACTAATAACATCTTTATCTTTATCTTTATAAATGCAAAATAAAAGATAAATTCAAATCATGTTAGGACTATGTTACACTTCAATTGAATAAAATTTGATAAGAGTTGAGTGAAATTAGATGTAATTAAGTGAATTTTATTCAAAATTACTCTTAAAAATTGATAGACTTGAATGAGATTAATACAACTGAGTGCAAAGTTTATAAAATTGTTTGAGTGTGTTTGGTTGAAATTAGATAAAATTAAATTCAATAGAGTCAAATATAGTTAATTCTACGTCAAAAAATAAAGCTATGTTCTGAGAATTTAGTCTAGGCTAAATTTGTACAAGTTTACATAAACACTCCGAGATTCTTTAAATAACAAGGATGCTTCCAAAATTTTCATATGCTCACATCATTGCTCTGAGAATTCATATATGTTTACTTCGGCGCTCCATATGTTGGGGCGCTATTGTAAACACAACCATTCTCGGAGCACCGATATGAATATAGAAAAAAATTGGGAGGATTTATGTCATTTATTGAATCTTGAATTATTTATGTAAACTGGGGGACAGGATCAGGCTAGGATAGTTGGGAGGGGTTTAGAGGGTAGAAACAACTTCGAATCGATCGAATGGATCAGAACACTATAGCCCCTATAATATGACATAGGGGTTCAGTGTCAAAAGAACCTCGGTGTAACAGAGGGATTATATTCATATATACAGATTATAGGAGAGTGCAAAATCACAAAACCAAAAATCTGGACAACTAAAACAAAAAACAAGACAAAAAAGTACCTACCTCACTGCCATTCGGAATCTCATTGTAGGACTAGGACCAACCTGGCATTGAATAATAGTATGGCTTCCCGTTTGCTTCCCCATTTAGATTATTCATCTCTAAAGCTTGAGTACAAGTCCAATTGGACAATGATCACTGCCCATGATATCGGGGACGATGTACGAGTCATAGACTCTATCTGCAATGGATTCCGATGCCAGGAAATAGTCTAGCCTCCATCCTTTTGTTCACCGAAGCAAAAGGCACATAATTGTAAAACATGACAGTGTGAGGATGAAAGACAGAGACAACGAAGAGGAAAAATGATTGAGTAACTTAAAATGCAATTTAAATTTGAAGAAAGATGCAAAAAAGGTTAATGGTGCAAAAATAAGGATAAAATAATGTTTTTGTTGTAAAAGGGTTAAAAGTCTTCATTTACACTATGTTTGATTCAAGGAATTTGAGAGGGAAAGGAAAAGAAAATGAGAAGGAAAATATTTTTTTTGTTTGGTTAGAAAGGAAAAGAAAACAAAAGTGAAAGGAAAAGAAAATGAGAAGGCAAAATGTACTAAGAGGAAAGAAAACCAAAATCCTCTCATTCCGGTGAGAAAAATGAGGGAAAATCATTTTCTTTTCTTTTCTTCCAAATTCCTTGAACCAAACATAGTGTTAAGGAAAAAAGCAAAGAGGAAAACAGGAAGAAAAAATTAGTACAGAAAGAGTGATATGAAAGAAAAAGAATAGTAGTCAACCTTTATTAGTTTTACGGCCTCCGTGCCTGTATCCCCAGTATGTGTAACCAACAACACCAGGATGTTGTTTCCTGAACGTGTCTACGAAACCCATGTTTAAGAAGTTCTTTTCGAATGATTGCCTTTCCTCATCTGTAAATCCTGCACTTCTTTTGTTCCCCTTGAGAAGAAACAAAATCCTAATTGTTACACAGGTGCAAAGACAAAATTCGTGGATTGAACAAAGTTAAAACTTGTCAAAAAGAACCACTGAGATAAAAGCTCAAGCGGAGCATGTCCATTTTGCTCTCTCGTTATGCCTACCAAGGACACTAGTTTAGATAGGTAAATGGCTCATTAAAGAAAATTTAAGCATGGGATCATCCACGAGAGAATAAAGAATCATTTAATCAACTTCTTGAATAAACGTTTATGGGTGCCATATGTCCTGAGGTCACGGGTTCAAGTCTAGGAAGCAAGATATGGCTTGCCCACATCACACCCTTATGGTGGACGCTTCCCTAGAGCCTCAATCAGCGAAGATGCTTTGTGCATAAGGCTACTCTTTTATCTAGAATAAATCTTCAAATTTCAGTTCTTGATATCATAACATACATATGAGACTGCACGAGGTATCACATTTTCTGCTAGGAATATTATTATTCTAGGTAAAATTTAGCCTTCCAAAGTTAAGAGTTCCACACTGAAGATAGAACAAAATTCTGCCAGGAATTACTTACTGCAGGATTGAAGATGTCTATCTCCTCGTGAGCACAGTTCAGATCACCACACAAAATAACAGGTTTTGAGTTTTCTAACTCCTGTAAAGCACTACACGTATAAGAAAAAGGTCTGACGGGAAAAAAAAAGGAACACAATTATTGAACAAGACATTATTACCCACACTTAATACATGAAAAAGATGAGGTGCCTTATTTTGTCAACTCACATGACAGCAAAGAGAAGGTATGAGGGAAGAAAATTTAGTTCTAACGACATATACATTTATAATAACGATAATAATATCTAGTAACTACCAATTACAGGTTATAGTGAGGACCGGAATTCTCTAGGTCCAGCTTATAGTGTTTTGAATAAATAAAAGAGCTAATAATATTGTGTAAATAAAGGAATTCTTACTTTCATATAATTGCTAAGAGAAGGATCCCATTCTGTGAATCTATAAGACTGCCAAAGAAGAAACATAGATATCAAATTCTCTGGAAGCTAGACCCCTCAAAAAAGCAACAACAGCAACCTAGTAGAATCCCACAAAAGCAGGGTCTATGGGGTGTGTGTACGCAGACCTTATCCCTACTAAAAGTAGAGAGGTTGTTTCCATCGCCTCCACCCCCCCCCCAAAGCAACAAATAAAATATCATTGCAATAATTACCAATCTCCTTAGGCCATCGCCAGAATTGGGAACATATGCACACAAAAGATAAAAGCTATCAAACTCCACTGTAACAAGCCTCCCTTCTGAATCATGATCTGTGATGCCCATACCATACTTTACAGATTGTGGTTTAAGCTGGAAACAAAAATTGAAAAGCACCAAAAGTGCAAGTTATTGGGCAGGAAATTTTAAAAATAAGTAATTGATAGTAATCATATTGTCACATATTGGTATGTTAGATTACTTAGAAGTTATTGGTGAATAAATCATGTTTACAGTTACAATAAAAAAGGAGGCAGATATAATAGAACAGAGAAAATTGTTTTAGGGAGATCATTTCAAATGGAGAAACAAAGTTGCAAATCAGATCATGCATATATTAAATTCAATGGAAACCAGTGCATAAGATTTGAAAAAAGAAAAAGTTACCCTTGAAATTATAGCAGTACCAGAATATCCAAGCTTAGACACACTGCATGCCCAAAAGCTATTTTCATATCCATCTACAAGCCTCTCCTTAATTAGCTGAACATCCTTTTCCTGTTTTTAGGATTTTAAAAGTCCAATTCTCAAAGAGTTGCAATTGTTTAGCAAGACAAACAATATCTACCAGTCAATGCATGGAAATCACAGAGATGGCTAAATGCTCAACATTTCATGTTTTCGAGTAAATGATATGTAGGTGCTACAACCCCCATTAAGTTTTCATGTATAGATGGGAATTGCAAACATTATGAGTATATGCAGGAGATAGCTAGAACAAACCTCAAAATACACCAAGAGGATTTGGCAATGCACAACGTGCATCTTTGGTAGCAGTTTTGGTGTTTAGCTTTAGCGTTTTGAAAAGAATATCTAATGGCAAAATTTATGTTTAGAATTTTCCAAGTTAATCTACAACATTAAAAATTATCCAAAGATTGAAAGCATTGTTCCCAAAAAAAGCCTACTTAAATCCATTTTCAATCAAAATACTCTTAATCCACACCAATTCCAATGTAAGCATGTGCTATGCAAGATCCCCACCACCTCATCTATTCCAGAAACACTTGTAATGAAACACACACACTAGTAATGCACCCCGATCAATCACTCTACAGAAAAAAGTTTGAACCAGATAATGATTGCATATAAGGTGTTACAAGAACTAAATTTCAAGTGTCATATAGATTAGGAATCCTAATTAGCACAAAACCTGAAATTTATCAACTAAGGAACAAATTGAGGTGCTTGATCGATGATTTAGCATTGGGATTTCTCTAATGCTTTTTTTATAATCTACTCTCTCCGTCCCATAAAAACATCCTTTTCTTTTTTGCCTCTTCGAATAAAAAACACGTTCTTTCTTAGGAAAAGAATGTGGCCAATAAAAGGTTCTCTTCTTAACCACACCTTTTTCACTTTTCTTACACTTTGTGAAAGCCAAACCAAGAAGTTTTTTACATGACCAAGGAAGTACGAATTAGGCCTTCTCATTTAAAGGTTGGCATCATGCATAGAGTTTGAAAGAAAAGAATCAGCCATCGAGGGTTTGTTCTGGCTCTTGAAGGACTTCTCTAAAGCTCATTATCTTTTTATTTATATCAACACAGTACAGTACCAGTTTATTTTCTAAAATATTCAAGTTTATTATTTAAAAATTCAATGAATCTTTTTGTGTACTCAGAATACACTGTCAACGTGACAGCCTACATGAATGATTGTTATATTTTACAATATCACTGTCACTGTTATGACAGGATTAATCTATCTGACCTTGGAAACCAATTTTAATCCAATACTAACAACTCAACATTCAGCAATCAAATGGATGGCATCATGACACATAATTCAAGGAACAACTCAATGCATATATAACCATTGAATAAAAAATGTGTCAGTTTTTCAAAATTATCTAGCTTCATGATTTACACTCATGGAGACTAGGGAGGACTATCAGTTACGCTTCTATTTTTCACCAAAAGTGAAAACAATAATTTGAATTTTACTTTAGAACATTTTTCAGATACCAAAATGTACCAGGATATATAAAACTATACAATTTCCTAGGAAAGGGCATATGTCAAGAAGAAAAGCATAGATAAAATGATAAGGGATAGCTTAGTACTGGGCAAAGTACAACTAACCTGCAATTTAGTCTCCTGCAAGCACAGAACATCAAAGTTTTCTCTTTGTGCAAGTTGATTTATGCAAAAGCTCTCCAACTTCAAAAGGCCTCTCAGACCATTAACATTCCAAGACATTAACTTCAAAGCATTATTGGTACCACTAAGCGGAGGTGGCCTCATAGTTTTGGGATTGTATGCAATCCATCCATCCTTCGGCTTCTTGTGAGCAAAAATTGTCCAGGGTTCATTGTGCTGTACAGAGGGATTAGCACTGTCTAAAATGACTTCTCTTTTATTTTTCACCTTCTCCTTACCTAGATATTTGAGTGATCATATTAATAACATCAGAAGTATATTTATGCAATGTGGGTAGCCAATAAGAATTAAAAATTTTAAAAATTGAGTGAGATCCATTTCCACCCATGAGAGTAAAATAGCTTTGTCAGAGAAGTCAAGCATTACATGAATGCACAAGACACTTCAGTACAGAAAATAAACAATAATGATAAATTAAAAGCACCTCCCACCACATTGGGCTCAACTAAGAGTTGTTGATCTTGTTTTATATCACTAGGTTCCCCCTCCTGATGACCTTGCATTGCTGCTTTCTTAGCTCTCTTAACTGGTGGAACTTCAGAAGCAAGATTTACCCTTTGGGCATCATTGGTTGAGACTTTATTGGAGTTCCTCCTTGAACTGTTTTGTGTTGTATCTGAAAGGTTCTCTTCATGGGATACCTTATCCTCCACTGCCAAATATCCATTGCATGTATTACACAAAGTGAATTAGAAATGAATCTTAAATATATTATCTACCCAATTGCACAACAATGAGTGACAATGAGAAAATTAGATTGCCCTATTTATTGAATAAACAATCGCATAGGATGTATTATTGAACTCATTGAAGGATACCATGATGTGCATCGTTTAGGAAACTCTTTAAGGCTGAGACAAGCTCACTCTTGCAACCTCTAGTAGAAATTCCAGCTTTCCTACACATGTCAAAATCTGATAAGAGTCTCAATTTTGATAGCATAACACTATTAATGGTTGCTTAGCATGATAAACCAAACTATAGATGATTAATCAATTCCAAACATGGATGAAAATCTCACATTGTTGTTTTCTTATTCCATATTTCCAATCACCTATAATCTCGTTCATGTTTCTATCAATTATTAGTAAAATGGTTAATGTATTATTATGTCAAAGTTTGTAAATCCAAATTAAACCATATTAGCAAATGACTAATGGAAAACTATGTTAACAATCTGTTAGATATAGCTGTAGTATAGCTGTGTGAAATAGTTGTAGTATAGCTGTAAAAGGGTTCTTGAATAGTAAGGTCATGCTCATGAGGTCAGCACCCATGATGTCATACCTTTACTAAATAGTCTTTAGCTTTCTATATATTTGTGTATATCCTTCATTTGAAATGCAATTAATCAGAGAGTATTCAACACTTATCTCTGAATTTCACATGGTATCGGAGCCTTTTTTGGGCATAAAAAAATCCGGTGAACTTTCGGTGATATTTTCCGACGATATTTTCCGGCAAGTTTTTTTTCTCTTTCTTCTTTTTCATCTACAAGTGTTTATTTCCTCTCCTTGTAGAGTAATCCTCTGCCGCAGAAAACAATCATAAGTCTCTGGAAACATTCCAGTTGACTTTTTCCTGAGTTTCACCAGTCCACTTTAAAGATCTACTCCAATCTAGCTATTTTCTGACGATACCACCACCACTGGTGTGTCTAGATCACCACTGTAAGTCTGCCTGTGGTAGACACATTAGTCACTGCCACACTTTAGTCACTGCCACGCGCCACCGACCGCCGCCACGCGCCGCTGTCCTTTTCTGACCAGAATCTCCAGATTCTTCAGCTGATCATTCGACACGCCTTCCACAATCAAAATGATGTCAGGTCTGTCAACTTTTGCTACTATTCCGAATATTACCTCTGAGAAATTGGTTGGTGCTTCGAACTATCAAACATGGGCTGTTTCAGTAGAGATGTGGTTCAAAGGTCAAGGTCAGTTTGATCATTTGACCAAAGATAACATCACTATCACTGATAAGAAAACTGAGTGGGAAAGAATGGACGCCTTATTGTGTAATGTTTTATGGCATTCCATTGATCCCAAACTTCTTCCAACATATCAATCCTATCGTACTTGCAAACAAATTTTTGAAAAGGCCAAATCAAACTACACTAATGATATTCAAGGGTTATTTTCATTTGGATCCAAAATTGCCAGCTTGAAACAGCAAGACTTGGATATTCAAGACTTCCTTGGCCGCGCAGAAGCTCTATTGTTTGAATTCAACACAATTCAACCCATTACAGATGATGTCGACCAACAATTAGCTCAGCGGAAACAGTTAATTATGGTATTAACCTTAGCAGGCTTGCGTACAGATTTTCAGTCTATAAGAGAGCAAATCCTATCAAGTCCATCAGTCCCATCAATGGGTGATGCATTTGCACGAATCCTCCGAGCAGCTCCCATCCCCAATGATCCATCCTCAGGAGATTCTACTATTCTTGCTTCACAGAATCAGAATCGTCCAAATACAGGCAATCCAAAATACAATCGTCCAAAGTGTGACTTGTGTCACCGGATTGGACATACCTCTAATAGATGCTGGAGCCCGAAGTGTGATTTCTGTAACAAAACTGGACATACAAAAGATAAATGTTGGAAGCTACATGGAAGACCTTCAAAGTATGTCAACATTGCTCAAAGTCCACTACCCTCGGTTGTGATATCACCTGATGAGTATGCATCATACCAGAAATTTAAAGCGTCCATATCTTGTCCAAGCTCGTCCACTGCATGTGTCTCGAATACATCAAGCACTTGGGTCCTTGACTCTGGTGCATCTCCGGTAATCCTTTTCTTTTATCCAATATTTCTAAACAAGGTAACTTGCCCCTAATCACACTTGCAAATGGACTCCAAACACCTGCCATGGGAATTGGAACAGCTCTTTCACACACAACTTTACCACTCAAATCAGTGTTATTTGTTCCCACGAGTTCTTTTAATCTTGTGTCAGTTAGCAAACTTACTCAATCTCTTAATTGTTCCATAACGTTTTTCTCTGATTCTGTGGTTATTCAGGACCGACGTACGGGGAAGATGATTGGCAAAGGACGTGAATCTCAGGGACTTTATCTTCTTAATCCGCCTGATTCTATTGCATGTGTGTCTGTTGAGTCAGCAATTACTTTACATAATCGTCTTGGTCATCCTAGTTTTGGAAAACTTCGGCGTATGGTACCAGGTTTACCATGTCAGTCACCCTTTAATTGTGAGTCATGTCATCTTGGAAAACAACCCCGTAAGTCTTTTCCAAGAAGAGTCAATAAACGGGCAGCATCTCTGTTTGATCTAGTCCATACTGATGTGTGGGGGCCATATCGGGTTAAGTCTACATTGGGATTTCGATACTTTGTAATCTTTATTGATGATTTTTCCCGATATACTTGGTTATATTTAATGAAAGAACGGTTTGAACTGTTTGATATATTCCAAAAATTCTGTGCAGAAATTCAAACTCAGTTTGGTCGTACCATAAAAATCCTTCGCAGTGATAATGCCAAAGAATTTTTCACTAATCCATATAACCAGTACATGGCATCCAAGGGGATGCTTCACCAATCCTCTTGTGTTGATACACCACAACAAAATGGTGCTGCAGAACGAAAGAACCGCCATCTGGTAGACACTGCACGCACTCTGTTACTACACTCTCATTCACCTACACATTTTTGGGCAGATGACATGCTTACAGCATGTTATCTTACTAACCGAATGCCTTCCTCTGTCCTCAATAATGAGATTCCATATTCCATCTTATTTCCAAACAAAGAACTCTTTTCTTTACCACCTCGAATATTTGGGAGTGTTTGTTTTGTTCATGACACAACACCTGGACAACCAAAAATGTCTGCCCGGTCGATTAAGTGCATTTTTCTTGGCTATTCTAGACTCCAAAAGGGATATCGGTGTTATTCTCCGGTGTTACGAAAGCATTTTGTTTCTGCAAATGTCACATTCATTGAATCTTCTTTCTACTATCCGAATTCTCAAGAGGATACATCTCATTTATCCGAGTTTGTTCCATATCTTCGGCCAATCTCACCAGTATCAGATAACTCTGACATTATAGACTCACAGCTTGAATCTGTCAGACCTAGTACAATGCCACAACCGCCTCCATTACAAGTTTATCATCGTCGACCTCGCCCTCCTCCGGAGGTTCAGGAGGCTCCGTCTACAGACAATTCATCTTCCTCTGTTTCGGATCCAGATCATGAGAATCTACCTATTGCTCTTCGGAAAGGTACACGTTCCACTCTTAACCCATATCCCATTTATAATTTTCTTAGCTATCATCGTGTCACCCCTTCATATTTTTCACTTCTTTCTCATCTTTTTGATGTCCCGATTCCAAAAACAACTCATGAGGCCCTTTCACATCCGGAGTGGAGACGAGCAATGGTGATGATGGAGGCTCTTCAAAGTAGTGGGACATGGGACCTTGTCCGACTCCCACCAAACAAGACGGTGGTAGGATGCCGATGGATCTACACAGTAAAGTTGGTGCAGATGGTACCATTGATCACCTTAAGGCACGTTTGGTTGCTAAAGGCTATACTCAAAATTATGGACTGGATTATACTGATACTTTTCCCCGGTTGCTAAAATTGCTTCTATTCGACTAATCTTATCCATGGCAGCCATGAGTCATTGTTCCAGTTAGATATTAAAAATGCTTTTCTTCACGGTGATTTATAGGAGGAAGTTTATATGGAGCAACCACCAGGTTTTGTTGCTCAGGGGGAGTCTAATCTTGTGTGCAAACTAAAGCGATCCCTATATGGTTTAAAGCAATCACCGCGTGCCTGGTTTGGTCGATTTAGTAGTGTTGTTAAAGCATTTGGCATGCAGAGGAGTGATGTTGATCATTCTGTCTTTTACCAACATTCAACCTCTAACGGGTGTATATATTTAGTGGTTTATGTTGACGATATTATTATTACGGGCAGTAACAAAGAGGGAATTGTGAAACTAAAGAAGCATTTATTCAACACATTCCAAACTAAAGATTTGGGAAAGTTGAAATATTTTCTCGGCATTGAAGTTGCACAATCAAGTGATGGTATTGTTCTCTCTCAGAGAAAATACACTTTGGACATTCTTGAAGAAACTGGGATGGTGGAATGTAAGCCTATTGATACTCCCATGGATCCAAATGTAAAGCTTGTACCAGACCAGGAGAAGGAGTTACCTAATAAAGAGAGATATAGAAGACTTGTTGGAAAATTAAATTATCTCACAATCACAAGGCCTGATATTTCATTTCCTGTAAGTGTGTTAAGTCAGTTCTTAGACAGACCGTGTGAAGGGCATTGGAATGCTGTGCTTCGGGTTCTAAGGTATATCAAAAATACTCCAGGACAAGGACTTCTATATGCAGATAATGGTCATAACAACATCGTGGGTTATTGCAATGCAGATTGGGCTGGTTCTCCAATTGATAGGCGATCTACATATGGTTATTGTATTTTAATTGGTGGTAACTTGATTTCTTGGAAAAGCAAGAAACAAGATGTAGTGGCAAGATCAAGTGCAGAAGCTGAATATCGTGCAATGGCTCTTGCAACATGTGAAATTTTGTCACTGAAGCATCTGCTCCAGGAATTGAAGTGTGGCAATACAAAACCTGTTCAATTAATGTGCGACAACCAAGCAGCTATACACATCGCTTCCAATCCAGTATATCATGAGAGAACTAAACCTATCGAAGTTGATTGTCATTTCATCCGAGAGAAAATAGTTGCTGGTCATATTGTTACAAGCTATGTTGGCACAGAAGATCAACTTGCAGATATTCTTACAAAATCAGTGAGAGGACCAAGAATAAAATATATTTGTAACAAGCTTGGAGTATATGATTTATATACTCCAGCTTGAGGGGGAGTGT